CCACTTTTGCTATTCAAACACAAATCACCTGACGACAACAACTTTAAACCAAGTGGTCACAGTCATTGTAGGAGAAGATTTACACTCTGAAATGAGTTGGAATTTTCTACGGAAGACCATTGTTCAGAGGATGATATTGTGTTAGACATACTGCAAGTGATAATTAATCCTTAATATAGTTACATAGTCTGATTGATAGGATGATGTCTGATCGTATCCAACGGAAACAACCATAAAGCATTCGTTTCCTTCTGGTGAAAAAAATAGCTCGGGCAACCTGACGTTTTTGTCATGATTACCATCTCTAAAAACAAAATATATATATATATAATTTTGAGAATTTTTTATTTCACTATAGGCAACAGCTAATGTTGTTGCTGTTGTCAAAATTGTAATATTTAATAATATTAAGATATTTAGTATTTGTAAGTCAATACAACTCTGGATAACCTGAAACAGCGACCACTAGTCTCTCCTACATCATCTTTAAAAGCTATCCATAGTCAACTTGACTATACAAATACTCCTGTCACCTCAACGGAAACCCCACCTCTGTATTTTGCAGTCTACCACTTGCTTAATGGTCCAACCCAGGCTGATTATTGATACGTACCCCTATATACATTTCAGGAGAGCACAAAATACATCCCATGAGGTAATTTTTTTGCAGTTTTTGTTTACGCGAATCCACCAGAGGCTGCTGTATATGCTCTCTGAGATCTTAAATTTATCTGTTTTTGCGTAATCCACCAGAGGCTGCTGTCTACTGACTGAATGACCGAATGGCTTTTGTTTTTGTCTTACCTGCTTTCTAGAATTATTCTTTACCAGATTCGAGCGCTGTGACCACGCTCAACTCCTCTGTGCCTTAAGTAGGAATGGATATCGTTAAGGTTTCACTGGTAATACTACTTTAATAGATACCACCTATTGGTTCGGTACTTTACCGGTTTTCTTATTGGTACTTTTTGTAGTGTTTTTTTTTTTTATGAAAAACAACACTTTATTCTATTATTACGTTTTTAATAAAAAAAACATTACTTGTAAAACAATTAAATAAAAAATCCCATAAAAGAATGTACAATGGTTTGAAGAAAAAGGACTCTCAGATTTAACCATTCTTTTGGAGAAAAACATGTTAGCTTTTTTTTTTTTTCCTTTATAGATTTATTGTGCTCCCTGCAGTTGAAAATACCCTCTTTGATCTGCAAAATGCAGTTTAATAATCAGACAATGTTTAAGATTTTTGATTAACACAGTCATATAAATGAGATAACAGTGTTTTAAGAGCTAACAATCTAAAAATAAGAAGTTTTTTAATCCTTTCTTAATAAGCATAGTTTATTATTAGGCTTTTATAGGGGCTATATTTGTAAATACAGCTGATGTAAAAGCATGTTTAATGTTTAAGATTAATTTAGGCGACTGCAGAAAAAAAAAAAAATTCAATGTAACCAAATGTGTGTGTTTATTAAACTAATATACTAATTTAGAGAGACCTTATGTGATTAACTGCTAGCATAACGATGTGGATGATGAACCTTTAGCAATTCAGTCGGAAACTTTTTATTTGTCCTTGTGCAGTTCATGCACTTTTGAAAGATGCTTAGCCAAACTTGTTGCAACGGACTTTGTCAATGTCCACTTGGGAAATGCAACCCGTTTGGTTCTTTTCGCCACTCTGCAAGCTTACGAGCTGTGTGGAGAACTGTGAAGGCTTTTCTACTTAACGTGCTCGCCAGAAACACAAGCATTTCTCATGTGAGATTGCCAACTGTGCAGATGAATATCAAATAACGCAAATTGGAAAAGGTTGCTCAGGAAAATTATGCTACTGTGAGTAATTCAGCAATAATTCTCCAGTAGTGATAGCAGAACCGTAAACATTAGAGCTTATCAATATACTTCAGTCTTTTATATTTTAGCACTGATACTGACGAAGTACCAAGTTTTAGTACCCATCCCTAGTCTTAAGTCCGTCAACGTACATGGCGAGGTACTGAGTAAACTGGTAACAGCAGAAAAGTCGTCCACACGGATGTAAGCGGTCCCTTACCCCCCACCTCACCCCCATCGTTTTTAAGACGAAACACAGCCATGCATACCTCTAACTACATAATTCACAATCTCCAGAAACGTATATAGGGGTACGTTTTCATAATAAGTCTATCTTGACTGTTGTCCAAAAACTTGCCTAATTATCATAATAACCTAGTTAAATCTAGGTTATTATCAAATCTTTAAATTGCATATTAAGCTGAATACTAGTATCTTGCAAAACTGTCATCATGGCAAAAACAAAAAAATTGTTATTAGAAATTTGTTATTAAAACTATTACATCTTTGTGTTGCAGAAATCTTCTCTGTATTAAACAAAACATTAGGGAAATATTTTTTAAATGAAGTGCAATTTGACTTTAACTGTATACTGACCTCAAGTCCAACCGGTAAACTGTTTTTTTTTTTTTTTTTTTTTTTTTTTTTTAAGGTGACCTACAGTACCTTTTCCATAAAAAACTCCTTGACTAGCCAAAATAAAGCACACACACACACACACACACACACACACACACACACACACACACACACACACACACACAGCTCAATCCTACTAGCAGAAACAATATATGACAACGAGCCTGGAGTAGCTTGAAAAAGAAGATGTCTTGTGCGTGTGTGAGAGTGCTTACAGGTGCATGACGGAGCCAGCGGCAGTCTTAAATACTCCTGCACTAAATGTGGTGTGTGTTTCTGCACATGTGTGTGAGTGAGTTTCGGAAGGGGGGCAACAGAAGGGGGGGATAAACAGATGGAGAAACTGCTCCCCAAAGGGACATGTCATTCATCAAAGTCACCAGCTAGGCCTGCAATTGTTTTCACCCACAGAGAAAGGGGGAGAGACAGTATGTGTGTGTGTGTTTGTGTGTGTTCCTAGACAGGTTTGTGTAAAAGTTGCCTTCCACAAGTGTGTATGTGCAAGATCGAAGGCCGGGGACGTGTATGTGGGAATGTGTGAGTTTGAGAGAGAGCGTTCAAGTGTCCTTTCGCTGACATTTCGTATCAGTGCTGCCCATCAGTTATCTGTTATCAGCGGAGAGCCCAGACTCGAACCCTGAACAGACAGTGTGTGGAAACATCTGTGAAAGTCAACCTACCCATGCGTACGGTCAACTATATAAAGGATACTTGATTTGTGGTAGCAGGCTAGCTACATTATTACTGCTATATATTTTTGAAGAACTAAAACAGTATTAATTAAATGTAATTTTATTATTTTGTAATCAAGATCATAAATAAAATTAAATAAAATTAAATAAAATAAAATTAATTTATGCTGTAAAATATATTGAATATTTTCTTAGATTTACTTGAATAATAACACTAATAATAAAACATATTAATGTGTGACTTGATTTAATTCTTTAAAAAAAAATGTCATATTGTTGGCAACCAAAATTAATATTAGTACTTAAAAATTAAATAAACAAAACAAAAAATGGTTTCAGTGACGCACATAAAATGGAAGCAAATCAAATCTAAAATTAAATAAAAAAAAATAACAATAATATATCAATAATATGACCAAATTTACCTGACTCTGAATTGATAAATCCCAGATAAATATTTTATTGTTTCGATTAAAAGGTTTAAGAAACCCACGCTCATTTTGACTACGTACCCCTATATACATTTCAGGAGAGTGCCAAATACATCCCAGGGGCTACGTTTTTTTGCAGTTTTTGTTTTCGCGAATCCAACAGTGGCCACTGTGTACGCTTTTTGAGATCTAAAATTTCTTTTGCGAGTGCCATTCGCACCTGCTGTTCTTGCGTACATCCACCAGAGGTCGCTCTAGAGTGTCAACTGACCCACCCTCCTCTTCCCTAAACCTAACCGATAGTGTTTTAAAAAGCACAGATTGACCAGCGTCCACCCCAAACCTGCCAACACTCCTATTTTTCCTGGCAGTCTCGCCCGTATTTCAGACCCATCTCCCAGGACCCTGCCGATTTGCTATTTCTCCCGAAAAAGTCCCCTAATTTCACTTGATTTCCGGAATCATTCATCAGCTGACTCAAAACCTGCCATCAAGGTCAATTCGCTATGCATCTCAAATCCTCCAACGTTCAAGCTGTCATACCACCCGTAGCATTCATTTTAAAGATGAAACACGTTCCTCTGTTCCTCCACGTTCCTCCATACGTTCCTCTGGCTACATAATTCACGATCTATAGAAATGTATATAGTGCTACGTTTTCAGCACTATATACAATAATAATAATAATATAATAATAATAATAATAATAATAATAATAATAATAATAATAATAATAACAAATTTGAATGTGTAATTTCATTTTCAATTAATATTTTTGCTCATAAAATAAATAAATGAAACAAATATGTTTACAGCGACACACAATGAAAGTAAATCTAATTAAAGTATATGAAATAAAATTAATTAATAATATAATATAAAATAAAATACTAACAATAATAGATCAATAATATAACCAAATATGTATGATTTTAAATTCATAAATCACAGATAAACTTTTAATAGTTAAAATAGTCAATTAAAAAGTGAATTAGTTTTCAATTTCGTAGCCATGACAATGCAGAAAAAATGAACACTTAACACTTAAAAGCTTAAGTAAAACAGAATAATACTTTTTAAAATTTATATAATTTATAATGTTGAGGCAGCATGGTGGCGCAGTGGGTAGCACAATCGCCTCACAGCAAGAAGGTCGCTGGTTCGAGCCTTGGCTGGGTCAGTTGGCATTTTTGTCTTAGCATGTTCTCCTCGTGTTGCGGTTGCTGAACCCTGATTAAGGGAGGCAAACTGACTAAGCTGAAAATGGATGAAAGAAACTATAATGTTCACACTTTTAAAAAAAAATCAATAAATAACCTCTTATAACCTCTATACTCCATTGTACATAAAATATATATTTTATAAATTCTTATTTTTGGTGGAAACCAATCCAATCAGCCTAACTAATGTACCATAAACTCATAATACACTTGTAATAAAAAAAGTCTCTAAATCTGATATTCTGACATCCATGTAGGGCATAGTAGACTTCTTCAATCAAATTCTATATATTTTGATCATCGGCCAAATTAAAATCCTATTTGATCACATAGAGAAGCCAAACAGTTTAAGAAATCATTCATCATCAAATATTAAAAGTTTTCTTTTAAAGTGTCCTGAACATAAAGTATAAGGTGTGCAGTATATCACTATCGTTCTCTCACTCTCCGCTAAAGTGCCACAAGCTTTTAAGGTTTCTGTCAACAACAGCAATTCAGGAAACTAAATGCAAAAACAAACCACACACACAACACCTGGTTTACAAGTCCCCCCAACAAACACCATTCAGCCATGCCATCCTGACTGAAAACACAGTGGAGGCCTTCCAGAGAAAAGAAAAATGCTCAGTTTCTCCAGAGACGTGTTTTTCTGGTTGTTTTTCTCTTTTCGACGGTGAGGGTGAAGGCACTGATATTCACCACTAAGCGCTGTATCAGTCGAGCTGCCACTTTGTTCTGCCTAATTATGGCATTAGCAGGCAAAAACAGCACAAATTGCGGCTAATAATTAAATGGCAACTCTGATCAAAATCTGCTTATGTGTTAGTAACTGCGACAATAGCTAAAGTATATTTCTTAACACTAATATGATGATGGTCACACATGCAAAATAGTGTTTTATTAAGATAGGTTAGAAAAAAAAAGTTTGAGTAGATACTAGGGCTGCACGATTCTGGCTAAAATGAGAATCAATTTTGTTTTGGTCAAAATAAAGATCATGATTTTCTCACTATTTTGAAGTTCTTGTTTTCGCGAATCCACCAGAGGCCACTGTATACGCTTTTTCAAATCTCAAATTTCTCTCGCGAGTGCCATTTGCGCTTGCTGTTCTCACGTAAATCCACTAAAGGCAGCTGTCGACTGACTCACTTACTGTCTGACCAACTGACCGATAACCCCACCATCTCCCTTCCCTAAACCCAATTGATAGTGTTTTAAAAAGTAGTGATTGACCCGCCCACCCACTTCCCTAAACCCAACCGCACCGTTTAGAAAAATTATTTCAAAAAAAGGAAAGCCCTTACCTGATTTTTACATTTTCAGATTTTACAACATTCTTACCCTTTTAACAAGTTATTTACTTTTTTTTTTCTTTTTGCTTTGTTTGTTGTTTGTTGTTTGCTTACCTGCTTTCTGGAACCGTTCTTCAAAAGACTCGAACCCTGTTGTTGTAGTCATCTACACTCTGTGTCTCAAATCCACCGACATACATGTTGAGTACGGAAATAGAGGTAAGCGAGAAAAGGGGGTCATACCACACCATAGGGTTCATTTTAAAGATGAAATGCAGCCATACATAACTCTGGCTACATAATTTGCGATCTCCAGAAATGTATATAGGGCTACATTTTCAAAATGAGCCTACATCATGATGTATTATGCCTATTTGTGGACCTAATGTTGGTTAAAATGTTCAATTTTGTATAGACTTGCAATGGTGGACTTGAATAGAATATAAATTTGTCCTGGTCTTTAATGCACAGTAAAGTGATGACATCACAACACAACGATTCATAATTCTTAAGTTCTGATGTTTAAAATGCTTGCAATCTGTCACTGACAACATTATTAGACCATTTTTTTTACTGGTAAAATCCTATGTCCTCTCTATGGTAAACAAACTGTGTGCCAGCCCATGTGTGACTTCGCAGCCACAAAAACATCATTACATGAAGACAATGACTTTTGGGGTGAATTATACACAACATAAGCTCACTCTGAAAACGTAGCCCTATGTACATTTCTGGAGGTCATGAATTATGTAGCCATAGCTACATACAGCTGCATGTCATCTTTAGAGCGGAGCACGGCAACGGGGGTCGAGTCCAATAAAGACCGGTTCCAGAAAGCAGGTAAGACTAAAACAAAAGATAAAAACTAAAATAAACAAGTAAATGACAGGGTGAGAATGTGGTCAAATCTGAAAACATGGTAAAAATCATGGGCTTTTCTTTTTTTAGATTTTTAGCCATTTAAAACACTGTCAGTTGTTTAGGGAGGGGGTGGGTAAATCTGTGCTTTTTAAAACACTATTGGTTGGGTTTAGGGAAGGGGTGGGTTGGGGTTATTTGTCGGTTGGTTAGTCAGTAAGTCAGTCAGTCAACAGCGGCCTCTGGTGATTTATGTGAGAAAAGCAGGCCTGAATGGCAATTGCTAGAGTAGTTTGAGATCTGAAAAAGCGTACACAACAGCCTCTGGTGGATTCGTGAAAAAAAAAAACTGCACAAAAAGGTAACTCCTGGGACGTATTTTGCTCTCTCCAAAAATGTATATATTGCTATGTAATCAGAATGAGCCTGGGTTAATCATACTTTATTAATTCAGTATGCTGACACTTTCAACAACATTAGGAGGTGTCCAAATTGCTGAGCAACGTATATAAAACAATGTATAGACTTCTAATAATGCCTTTATGTTTCTTTCCTGAACTTGAAAATATAATTGGCTTAATCTTAGATATGCTGAATTAAGATTATGTAGGGGGTTGAATCGATTTCCTCTATTAATCGTGCAGCCCTACTATTATAAGTCAAAATAATTACTCTCTTAATTATTTCATAAACATACAGTAAATGATGTTTTACAGAGCAAGAAATTCTTCACAGTATTTCCTATAATATATATATTTTTTTCTTTTGTAGAAAGTCCTATTTGTTTTATTTTGGTAAGAATAAAAGCAGTTTTTACTCTTTTTTTTTTTTTTTTGCTATTGTAAGTTCTATATTATTAGCCCCTTTAAGCATTCTTTTTTTGATTGTCTACAGAAGAAAGCATCATTGTTCAATAACTAGCCTAATTACCCTAAACTGCCTAGTTAACCTTATTAATCTTTTTCTTTAAATGTCACTTTAAGCTGAATACTAGTATCTTGGAAAATGTAGTAAAAAATGAGGTCATCGTGGCAAAGATTTAAAAAAATTGTAATTATAAAAGTTAGTTATTCAAAATATTATGTGTATAAATGCGTTGAAAAAAAATCTTTTTTCCGTTAAACAGAAATTGGGGGAAAAATAAACAGGGAGCTAATAATTATGGCTTCAACTGTATATCAGAAGGAAAAAGACATTGTTGCAGTCATTTTATTTATATAGAGTACATATATAATTTTAAATAATTCAATTTTATTATAGAATTAATTCATTATTAATACACACTTGTATAATTACTGACTACAATAAGGACAACTTTAATTAGAAGCCATACTAGATTAATATTACAAACCAATGCTAATTACACTCATTTTACCTCATTAAAAAGTAGCAAATCCAGTAATTTGCTGAAAAAAATATCACAAATTGAGTCATCTTTGAGAATTGTGGCTCATTTATAATTTAATAATTTCAGCAGTTCATTACCATAAATACTGTGCTTCAATAAAAAGGCCATACATCTTTTTTTTGTTTTGTTTTTTTAAGAATTGAAGTGATTTGTGTGAATTATACATGTTAAACTTTTTTATTGCAGCTGGAAGGGCATCAAGCTGCGTAAAACATATGCTGGATAAGTTGGCGGTACATTCTGCTGTGGCGACCCCAGATTAATAAAGGGACTAAGCCGAAAAGAAAATGAATGAATGAAACTTACTTTCATTATGCATATTCTATTCTTATTGAAATATGAACAAGTAACTAAAGAAGTGGAATGAAGGGACTGTTCATTATATATGCTCAGAGTAAGTTCAGCTACTCGGGTTTCACAACATGTATATAATGCTGTCAGGGATAATAAACGAAGGCATCCTGACATACATGTGAAGGTCAGTTATTTGAGTACTGCATGGATTTATGCACATAAATACATCAGAAACACCCAAGGGGGGTTGAGATACAATGAATGGAATACAGAATAAACACTTAAGCTTATTTACCACATTTATAGGGGTAAATTATCATCTTTTCATGCTTTTCTTTTCATATTTAGTTTAGTTTGTCGTAAACAGTAACTGAGTTTTGCTGTATTTATTTCTTTGATTTAAGCACATCTAACTACTTCCTCTCCCCCAGGTAATTCATCATTTATTAATTTTAAATATTTTTCTATCACTGTACAATATATTTTCACTGGTTTCACTGTAATAAATAATTGCATTAATATTTGATTTTAGTTCATTTCTTTCTCCATCCACTTGTCACACACAATAAACTTTTGTATGTTATGTCACCTACTCCTAGTTTAATATTAACATCTAAAAGGACGTAACAAACTGTAACTACATTTAAAAAGTATACTGACTGTCAGGGCAATTTAACCTTTTATTTAAGGTGTCCTTCTTACACAGGTTCCATGAATTTACTACAGTAATTACAAATAATTGTGTAAAATTGCATGCAACAATAAACCTAAACCACATTCCACATTTTACATAGATATTTACATTTATACAGAATTTGTTTCATTAGCAATATATACATTTAACACACACACACACACACACACACACACACACACACACACACACACACACACACACACACACACACACAAACACACACACACAGTTTAAGTCAGAAATATTTCTTTTTTTAAATAATATTTTTCTTTCTGGAGAAAATCTTATTTGTTTATTTGGGCTAGAATAAAAGCAGTTTTTAATTTTTAAAAAACTATATTAAGGTCAAAATTATTAGCCCCTTTAAGCTATTTTTCGATACTCTACAAAAAAAAACCATCGTTACACAATAACTTGCCTAATTACCCTAACCTGCCTAGTTAACCTAATTAACCCAGTTAACCCTTTAAACGTCACTTTAAGCTGTATGGAGGTATCTTGAAAAATATCTAATGAAATGTTATTTGCTGTCATCATGGCAAAGATAAAATAAATGAGTTATTAGAAATGAGTTATTAATACTATTATGTTTAGAAATGTGTTGAAAAAAACTTCTCTCTGTTAAAAAGAAATTGTGGCAAAAAATAAACAGGGGGCTAATAATTCTGACTTCAACTGTATATTTTAGGGCTACACAGTATTGGAAAAATCTGACTTTGCAATATTTGTTTTCTCCGATATATATTGCGATATAATGCTGCTATACAATTTTCCCAAATGATTGAATGGCACTACTTAGAAAGAATTTATAGTTACATTTTATTTTAAGGCTTACTTCCCTCTATCGGCAGACCATTAACCATGACTTTTGCTTCAATAAACTCCTAATTTGTTCCTTGTTATTAGATATTCAGGTAGATTAGGTATTGGGTTAGCTTTTTTAATGTTTAAATTATGCTGCAAAGTTTTTGATGTATAAACAATTCAATACAATTATACTTTATTAAACTTCCAAATGGTAAAATGTCTTGTACCTGAAAACTTGAATCTCTTAATGCCAATAATATAATTTCACACTATTATGGTTAAACTGCAATAATTCCACAAATCTCCACCAAACTGTGACTTTTGCACATATATAATCCCAACTATGCTATGTTACTATTGCAGATGCACATTGCGATATCGATGCTGAAATTGTGCACCCTAATATACTGTAAATATAAATAAACATTTTCTCAAATGTATGCATGGATGTTGCATGTGTGTACTAGTATATACATGACAAATACACAAACAAAACAAACTTTTTTTGGAAGTGATTAATCTTTGCCAGGACTAATATAAAATATGATTTTATGATTTTAAACATTGTCATGTGAACATGTGAAGTAAAAAATGAGGCAAGAAAATCCACCTTTGCTAAATGAACCTTTGCTTTTTTTTATTAAAATAATTACATTAATTAATTAATTACTTGCATAATACTGCATTCTCGTATAACAACCTTTATAACAAAACTCAAAAATAATCTAATTATTATAATTACACAAATAGTTTTATAAATGATTCAAATCAGTGCTTGATGAAACAGCTCCATAACGATAATGTCTCTGCATCAACTCGCGTCACTCTCAAATCACATAATTTCCTACAAAGTCAGATGTTTGTTAGCATTGGGGACGGTGGAATGAGCAGAGGGATTGAGAGAAATGTGGATGCACATCTTAAAAAGCTCCTTCCCCCCCAGAGCGGCCGGCAGAAATAACAACAGAGTCATCTAAAATCAATCAGCAGGGCCGGCTAACGGACTGCTCCGGCTACTCCGCGCTGCGCAGATCGATACGCACGCTGGCCATTGTGAGAGCTAAATTGCCACTACCATCAGCAATTTAGAGAACTGAAACTAAAAGGCAAGAAGCGAAACGACGACTTACAAGAGAAAAAAAAAACGGACATAACGTATCCGAACACAATGTTAAACAAGTCATACATGCGGTTTTAGTCGTGAAATATAAACACGCGGCGGTTTGGGATTTGGTCTGAAAAGCGATCAACGGTTCCTCTGAAAGAGATTGTATTGCAAAGGATGAAAGAGGGATGATGAGAGAGAGAGAAAGCAAATGCGTGCACAGGAAAAAAAAAAAGCAAAGAGGCTACAGAAATTCAATAGTTTAACCTCTGTTTGAGGCGCAGTGGTGGCCAGTGAAGGACAGAGGGGGAAAATCAATATGAGCTGATTTGCAGAAGGTGGAAGAGTGGGAGGAGGAGAGAAAAAGGAGAGCGACAGAGATGGGAAAAAAGACGGACAGAACAGATCAAATAAAAAAAGAGAAATATCACAAGAGAAAGAAAAGAAAAAAAGCAAGCGTAAATGGGACAAATGGTCATTTATGTGAGTTTCACATGCTGCTATCTGTGTGACGGGTGAGCCTGGTATTTAGGTCTAAAAAAAACTACTGTAGTGAAACTACAGTGTTTTTCATTTAAAGTACTTCCTATATTGGATTAAGTGGAAAAATAAGATTTTTGATTTTAACCTGCTTTATTCGATTTGCCTTAAAGCAAATTGAATCCAAACTAACCAGTTTTGATAGCTCACATTGTTTGTCTTACGGTGAAAAAATCATCTGCAAGTCAAAATCTTACATTAAAAATGCAATGTTTTCCATTCGAAAAATTTACCTCCTACACTGTAAAACCCAACAGTCAGCTTTATCAAATGAAATGAGTGTAGTTAACTCAAATTTGACTGGAAGTTAATTCTACTCATTTGAAAAAGGTTTTGAAGGTAATGAGTTAATTAAATACCTCATTACTTCCATTTAAATGGAGTAAGTTCACAGTACTCATATAGATTAGTTTTTTAACTCAAATAGTTTGTAGCAATCGGTTTACTCAAACGGTTTAAGTTGCCTTAACTTAGTGGGTTTTACAGTACTCTTGTGGTTTGACTTCTCTTCATTTATTGGGCTTTGCTGTGCTCAGATTGCTTCGTTTACTCAAATAGTTTAAGTTCACAGTATTCATTAGGAATCTTTTAACTTAAATGGTTTGCTGCAATCAGTTTGCTCATATAGATTGAGTTACCTTAACTTTTTGGCTTTTACAGTGTACCAAAGTACATGTGAATGTCTGTTTGTCTGTTTTTCTTGACCTAAATCCTTATTTTGATTTAGATTAAATTACATTTTAAAATGTCAACCAAAGTCAAATGATACTTCAAGAAAAACAAACAAAAAAAATTTGCTGTAACAAATTACAATAACTTTTTTGTAAAAGTAGGTTCAAATACTTTTTTTAATGTGGGTTGAGTGAGCGAGACGGGGGTCTTACCTGTTGGTGACAGCAGACCTGGAGAGAGCAGCCCATGAACGCTGTGAGGAAGCAAACGAGAGCTGTCCTGCATCGCCACACCGAGAGAGCGCTTAGGAGGACGACCAGGCCGAGAACTGGAGAGAAACATACAAAAGACGACAGTGTTTTTATGATATTTATAAAATATTCTTTATAAGTGTTCAAAACCCACATACAATTTCTCTGCTTCTGTTTCTTCTATTTTTTTTTTCTAATTTATTCCAGTTTTATTAACAAAGAGAAAAAAAACTCATGTTCAACAAAAGTGGCGGTTCTAGTTTAAATGGCGCCCCGGACGAAACCACCCCAAAACATACCCTATTCTCATACCCCAAGAAATAAAGACACAATGTGGTTGAATTTTGCATGAATATTAATTATGACAGTACTATAAAATACAAAAAAAATATATATGCTTTATAGAATTTACTGTTGTCTTAGTCCTGACTCATGGTCGAGAATTAATGTCATGAAGTCTTAGTTACCTCCCAGACTCATTATTTCTCCTTTCTGCTTCATAGCCATGCTTAGTCAAAGTAATATAACCATTTGATGATGTATAAACTTTAGTTTTGTCGACTTGCATGTCGATGCATATCGGCATGCATGTAAACAATCGCGATGAGGAGCAGCGCATGTGAGGCGCGCAGATGTGTCAATTTTTTTACACCAGTGTTGTTTCGGTAGCACATAAAGTATAACAAGCTTGTGTATGCAAAAAGACGGCCAATGTGAATAGCACCTAACGTTTTTATTCTGGGATAACCACTCTAAATTAATACACTTGCATAAAGTAAATCTTATCTTAAAGCTTTTATTGGGGCACTTTTTTTTGCGCGGCCTCCTGCAAGATGCCACCCTGGGCTATCGCCCATATTGCCCATGATTAAATGTGACAACGTTCAACATCAAGAAAAGATTCATTGTTGCTGTAAAATGAAATGTCATATGACTTCCAAAAAATGAAATATTTTAATTTAGTCTGTAAAAATATATACAGTTGAATGCAAATTATTATTAATCATTATTATTATTATTACAATTGTCACACACTGATCACGCTGCACCCAACCTGGGGTCCGTTCTTCGTACGTGGATTACTCAGTTAGCTGGATTTGGATATTGACGTTTTGACACGATCCAGGATCGTTTCGTTCTTCAAAGCTGATCCGAGAGTTGTTGTCATAGCAACAGTTCTGCTAGCTTAATCCTGATCGAGAGCAGGTTCAATTTATATAAACAGGATTAGATCGGCTCAGTTCAAGCAAAGATAATAGAGAAAGTATGTACCGAACTCTGATATTTTCTTACACTAGTAGTTATATACACTTGGGAAAATAGTAACTATTTTAAATATATATATATAAAGTTATAGTTATTAATAAAATAAATAAAGTTATACATATTAATAAAACGTATGCAATCTGCACTCTCGAAATTAAAGTACAAAGACTGCCACCTGCTGGTGCAAAGAGAAAACATATGAACTTTTTAGATCGCTTTAGTACAATTTGTGTATAATAGAAATGCACAATGTGTGACTTTAAAAAAAAATAAATTATACATTAATGCAGTCATAAACATGTTTTGACAGTTAATATGCCAGTGATTATGCTTAACAATAGTTGCAGACGCCTTTACCAATATCAAAATGCTTTTGAAAACATCAGTTATTCCATACAGCGATTAAAAAACGGCTATTATAATAAAGAAAATCTTTTCTAAATGTAGAACTAAATACACGGATATGCATTAAAATACATGATGAATACTCTTGACACATGAAAGAGTAAAGCCTGCAGCTCACAACAAATGTGGAAGGTTATTGTGAACCATATTTAACAAGCCGTTTACTGCTAATTTGATGTAATTTTGCTCACATGGATAATTGAATATTAATCAGATGATGTCATCACGCTGCTGTGCCGTCAGCCAATCGTTGCACTGCTGATCATGATTTCGAGGATCGATAGATCTGTCCTTCACAACACACGCAGCGATCTCAGATCAGTTTATCCTGACATTCTAATCTGATTCGCGAACTTGTTTGAAGAACCAAATTAGCGAGAGATCAGTTATCAAGATTAAAAGATCCAGGATCTGCCAAATCATCTTAGATCATTTAAGTGAGGTACGAAGAACGGACCCCTGATCTGAGCTGGGATCAAACCGGCGATTCATTGTATGGGAGTTGGCTGCTCTAACAAGTAGGCTAACGACTATGGCCTCTAGAATCTGTCATTAGAGCACCTTTTGAGGTCAGAGGAGTGAGGTTTACCTCCACAGCACTTCGATAACTCGCCTCCATTACACTCACCACCCTAAACCTCACTCCCATCCCGGAAGAGCCCCCACATGTAACCCATTGGTACTACTGCACTCAACCTACTCTGAGCTGTAATCACAGTAGCAATTAATTGTAGTGAGGTTTACCTGCATAGCACTTCGCTAGCTGGCCTCCATTACACAATTAATTTTAGAATAATAATAATATATTATTATTATTATTATTATTATTATTATTATTATTATTATTATTTTTATTATTATTATTATTATTATTATTATTATTATTAGCCCTGCTGTGAAAATTTCATTCTTTCTACCAAGCAGTGTTTAACAGAGATCCATTATTTTAACACAGCATTTTAATTTCAGTTTTAACTAATTTCAAGGGCGATGCAGTGGCGCAGTAGGTAGTGCTGTCCCCTCACAGCAAGAAGGTTGGGGTTTCTGTGTGGAGTTTGCATGTTCTCCCTGCGTTCGTGTGGGTTTCCTCTGGGTGCTCCGGTTTCCCCCTCAAGTCCAAAGACATGCAGTACATGTGAATTAGGTAGGCTAAATTGTCCGTAGTGTATGAGTGTGTATGGATGTTTCCCAGAGATGGGTTGCAGCTGGAAGGGTTCGCTGTGTAAAACGTGCTGAATAAGTTGGCAGTTCATTCCGCTGTGGCGACCCCAGATTAAAGGGACTAAGCCAAAGAGAAAATTAATGAAGGAATGAATGAAAAATGAATGAATATTAACTAATTTCTAAAAATTTTTTGATAACAGTACATAATGTCTACAAGTAATTTTTACTACTATAGTATACTATAAATACTAGAACATTAACTCAAATTCATGTGTACTTTACATGATTTATTAGATTAATTTATTAAAACTGTTTTTTTATCTTAATAATATTGACCTTAAAAATTGTTAAATAAAGGTAAATAATTATTTCTCCAGATGAAACAAAATATATATTATCAAAATAGGAAACACTGTGAAAAAAATGTCTGCTCTGTTGAACATTCACATGGGAAATATTTTTAACAACTGTATAAAAAGCTCAATAAAATTCAATAACAAACATAATAACATTTTTAAAATCTTTATAATAAATGCATATAATAAATACTGTAAAAGTGATTTCATGGGAAAATTCGGTTTCTTTAAACGGACCACTTGAATGAAAGTTGTTGGATTAGCAGGTTATACATTTCCTACACGTGGAACAATCATACATCCTCTGCCATGATAGATACGTGAAGATGCACAGCCTAAGAATCATAGTCCGCTAACATACGACACGCTAGACAAATTATTCAACACAAAACACAAACACACACTTATCTCTCACACTTCATTGTGAGACGGGACATCAAAGAGACAGGTACATGACAGTTCGAACCCTGCGCAAGGGTGCTGGCAGAGCAAAAATAAGCCAGAAAAGCAAAATGCAAATTCCGCTGCTGCATATCATTGGATCATGTCCAAGTACATCAAGCAGCAAGTGTTTTTCCCGCCGTTCTATTAATACTGCAGTGCTAACAAACACAAACCAGAGAAGAATCACCAATAAACTGATCGTGGTAAAGCCAAGATGAGCAACTTGTTCATAATAGCGCCACATTTCAGCTTTAGAGCTTACAAGTATTACAAGATTGACAAATCCATTCATGACAGCATACAACATGTCCACATGCAGTAGAGACTTCAGTCAGAGTAGACAGAACACTTCAAAACACTCAGTGCTAGTAGCCTTGCAGTTAGACCGCTAACTAATAGCACCATGTACAGTTGAAGTAAGAGTTATCAAACCCCCTGAATTATTTGCCCAATGTATTATTTTGCTTGTCAATTTAAGTTTAACAGAGGGAAGATTTTTTCAACAAATTTCTAAACATAATAGTTTTAATAACCCATTTCTAATAGCTGATTTAATTTATCTGTGTCTTGATGACAGTAAACAATATTTGACAAGATATTTTTCAAGACACTTCTATACAGCTTAAAGTGACATTTAAAGGCTTAACTGGGTTAATCAGGTTTACTAGGCAGGTTAGGCTAATTAGGCAGGTTATTGTATAACGATGGTTTGTTCACTAGACTATCCAAAAAACATAGCTTAAAGGGGTTAATAATATTGACCATAAAATGTTTTTTTTATTATTAAAACAGATTTTATTCTAGCCGAAATAAAACAAATAAGACTTTCTCCAGAAGAAAAAATATTATCAGACATACTGTGAACATTTAAACATCATTTGGGAAACATTTAAATACGAAAAAAAATTCAAAGGGGGTTTAATACTTTCAACTGTAGTTTGAATTCTCTTTGTCTATCCTGTTTTCCTCTCGCTGAACCCAAACGAAATGTATTTACATAACTTTTTTATAGCAAAGTCAACTAATCAATGTCATACTGTTTAATACTAGTCATCTTGCACTTGTTAATAACACTGAATGTTAATAACACTGCAAATCTAAAACCTTCACATGAACAACACTATACAGAATTATGATATATATAATACATTTTTATATAAAGTATTCCAGATATATTTATTAAAATATGATATATTTTATATGATAAATTTATTTATAAGCATGTTATATAAGTATTTATATTATTTACACATAATATAATGATACTATTTTAACTTTGCAGCAATAAAATGCCAATTCATTTGAAAACATGGTAACACTCTTATGTCGCGGTCACACGAGTTTGAGCATGCAAAATTCTGTCATACGGCGCAGTAAAAAGGGGCAAGATTGAACAAGATGGAGATTAAAAAGTGAGCATTTCTGTACACTGATGTTTTGAT